ATTCTGGATGTCAGTAGATTTCATTTGTAAGTTGTAATTTGTAATTGTTGATTAATTGATAACTATCAAGCTATGGAGTAGTGAATACAGGAACATATTTACATATGCATCATAGTTTGAGTAAAATTCATGCCAATTGCCAAGTTATGTAAATTCACTTATGTGTATGCTCAACAATCAAAATTGTTTATAATAGAAAAAAGAAAAAAGTCAATATACCATTAAAGTAACATATATTAGTAGAAGTACTATGTACGAAGTATATATAAAGTTAGAAGCTAATTTTTAGGTAAAAAACTAACTTGTCCTCCTTAATTCCATAGCTACATTCTGCAAATTTTCATCATTCTTCTTCCTTTTTTTTTTTTTTTTTATTTTATTTTATTTTTGATATTTTATTATTATTATTATTATTATTATTATTATTATTATTATTATTATTATTATTATTATTATTATTATTATTATTATTATTATTATTATTATTATTATTATTATCATTATTATTATTATTATTATTATTATTATTATTATTATTATTATTATTATTATTATTATTATTATTATTTTAACTTGCAACAATTTATTTGGACTTTGAGCATTGCACCAAACATCTTACTCATGCATCGTAAGGTCATATGCGTCCAAGTTGAAGTAACAACGGCCCAACTTTACAAACTGTTTTAGTCCAGAGAGCAGGCCCATATTCTACCAATTCTGGATCTTAATATGGTAAAGCCCAATCAAAACGTTGTGACACACTTACAACTGTTTGTTAGAACAATTTTCAAATGTATACAATAGATTGTACATGTTTTTAATTATCCTTAATTCTAGTTTCATTGTTAATTCGTGTAATTTGGATTGGACAACCGCTTTTCAACCTCGAAAATAGTGCCCAATTTTCCACACTTGAGTCTGGATCAGTTACCTCCCACCTAAGAATTGCATAAAACATGTTTGAAATGATATTATTTCGATCCACTAATCGATTTGTTAGTAAAAAATTAACGTTAACACTTAGCACTAATAAAATTTCCAAGTCTTGCTAGGAGGACTTACTTGTAAGTGGTGATTAACCGGTAAATGAACACAAGCATCATTGTTCTGGCTAAATTCATGCCTAGACATGTTCTTCCTCCCGCGCCAAAAGCTAAGTAAGTGTATGGTTTTGGTTCATTCTACGTATACATCACAAATGATTTAGTTGTACGTATCAAGGCACATACACCTCTTTTTCGGTCTTTGTATAAACTGATTAAAAGCTGAGTATAAGAGAGTACACAAGTGAATGTTGTAAGGAAATCTTACATCAAACCTAGAGGGAATGAATTTATGAGGATCTTTATGTAATGTAGGATCAAAATGTATAGCTCTAGCATCGACGTTAATATTCCATCCTTTCTTGATTGTATACCCTGTATCAAGTAAAAATTATAACATGTATATATGTATGTGCTTAATTTAAGGAAGACTAACTAACCTAAGATGTTGCAGTCGCGGAGTGCAACTCTTGGGAACCATGGTACTATGGATGCCATCCTCAAGCTTTCTTTTACTACCTGAATTATACCATTCATTAATAATAGTCCCTATATGACGAGTTTTCTTTGGTCATATTTAATATGCGACAATCTTTAAGGGACATCTCAAAAAGAAGTATGGGGATAAGCGGCTAACAAAAAAGGGGGCGGGATAGTACCTTGGCAGCATATGTCATCTCATTGAGATCTTCTAATGTAAGGGAGGATTTGGTTGCAACTCTCTTCTGTAAGCTGAGTACTTCATCCTGTTAGAATAAAGAAATTTTATACGAAGTAACTTAAATACAAGTATGGTATGTACATTTACATTATTACAAGGTCAATTTCATAACACTCAAGCATAATCCATCATACATAGTAAGCTTGTATATACCTGTACAACTTTGAGTACTCCTTGATTTTCATCCAAGTATTTCACCATCCATGTCATCGCGCTAGCTGTGGTGTCCTGACCTACATTTTTAATTATTTACACATCATTAGATATATAATTTCTTACTAATCCATGATTTGCTTAAGATATTAAAGACAAATATATGATTCCAATATGATGATTTGACTCATTGAAGAATTACCTGCAATTATCATGGTTAAGATGTTATCTTTGATTTGTGCATCAGTTAAGCTTGACTCTGAATCAGAAGAGCATGGTTCGCGATTTTTTCCCAAAAGTAAGTATTGTAGAAAATCTGTATTACCATGACCATAAGGAATTTGTGTCGAATGTCTTGCTCTTCTCTCTTGAATCATCTTCTCTAGCAAGTTCATAATTCTTTTCCTTGCCTACATTTGCAATTTATCTCAATTTCATACGGCAGACTAGGGGCTTGCCCTCAGGTAGAACCTAGCTACCAAGGGGAGCAAGGGCCTAGGAGAGGATTTAAGGGCCGAGGACCGGGGTTACTAATAAGCTGCTACAAAGGTTAAGAAAGTTTACCTTAAGACCTTTGCTGAAAGTAGTCCAAGGTAAATTCAAAGGAAATGCAAGCATTCCATGACAAACACAAGCAACATCCTTTTGTAGCATAGATAGCTCACTTCCATCTTCTAAACTTAGTAGCATTTTACACATTGCCTTGAAGGTTATCTGCCAAATTCATACATTAAGCCCATTACTTTTCACTATCTGTGCAACTTAGATCAATGGCCCAATTATTTAACAGTATTAGTAAATCTGGCCCACTTTTCTTAGCCCAATTTACTAGTAGGATGTAAATTTGAAAATCTCTAAGCCCAAGTAGCAAGTAGTCTTACACTATAGTGGCTTAGTACATAAAATACTTGTTAGTGCCCAAATATACCAGGTACAACCGTACAATGTGCTGAATTTTTTTAACAATTTTTTTTTAACAAAATGACATTTATTCATTATGAATAAATAATTATAACTCTATGGTCTAATATATAAAATCTACTCTACTTATTATTTTAGAGTCTTAGGTATCTCAACATTAATTCCCCAATTATATTAACCTTAATTTCACTTATTTAAGGTCATAACAGTTCAGATAGGATGAGTTTATCAATTTTTTTTAATTTTTTTTAATATGAGCTATTTAAGTTCAAATTACAACTAATTAAGATTTAATAAGGTATAAGAAGTTTTCCTCAAAAAGTTCAAATAAGTGAAACTCAGGTGAATAAAACATACTAGTATTTAAAATAGGTGTAGCCAAAATTCCTTTGTTCAAGTATAATATTGTACAAAAATAAAGTTTATGCATAAACCTGTATGATTAAAACAAATTTGAATTCATCAACCATAATTAATAGTCGAATCATAATTATTATTGGTATACATTGTACATTCATCGCAACTAAAAAATTCGAAAGCATATATCAAAAAGTTTCATTTACGTCATGTCTATGGCATACTCAAAAGCAATTTATATATTCCATAACTTTACATAGTTTATTCCATAAGAAGTAACATAGATAAATCTTGAACTTAATAAAAAAAAAATAGCTTCATAAATATGATTGCAAATAGGTCAAAGTGATTCTTATACTAGTATATTATTCTAAGATATATAGATGTTGTACAAAAAGAATTGTTAATGATTTGACCATACCTTAAGTGCTTGATCAAGTATGATCACATTTCCTGTATTTTTCCAAGAGTTGAGAGAATCTACAACCAATTGATCAAATTGCTTGGTGAAATCAGCTGTGGAATTTGAGTTAAACAAGTCAAGAAGATGCCTTCGAATTAGCTTGTGATTTTGATGTGATGCACAAAGTAGGCTTTCTGACCCAATTACTTCTCCAATTGACCTAATATACTTCTTTGTAAATTTTCCCAAATCATTGCTTAATATTTCCTTGGCTGATTCTGTGCTTGCCACAAACACATGGGTCTCTCCAAATATGTGCGTCTTAAAACAATTACTATACCTTATCGGAAAAAAATAATTAAATTCAATGTAAAAGAATAATATTTTTAATTTATGTTCAGGATAGGTATGTGCATTTTTTTAGGTGACTATAAAAAAAAAAAGTACTAGTAGAGTTTTGAAGTATACCTTAGATGGCGAGCTTGAACGAAGCTATAAAAACCTTGTTTGCTATAAATTGCTGCAATGAATTGTAAGGTTTCTCCAATATAAGGGAGTAATCCTCTACTACCCGGTGGAAATTTTAGACTTAATTCCCCATTTTTACTCTCATCAGGACTAATTAACCATAACTTCTTCATCAAATAACCAATTAGCAATAAAATGAGAACAAATAGGTATAATCCGAAAGCCATATTTCTTCTAATAATTTGATATGATATAAGAATAATTATTTGATATAGTATGCGAATAATTATTAGATAATTGGAATGAAGTTATACTTTGTTCATGATCACTCATAGACTTATAAGGAGTTTTAATTTAAATTAAATATAATTTAATTATACTGGTATTCAATTTTAAATATAGTTTTAAAAGGTGGTGCAATTTAACGATGTAAGAATGGCCACGATAATTAAGGGAGATGATGGGTGTTGTGATCTTGGCCTGCACATTGCTGTTTAATGTTCTCCACTATAGTTAGTGGGCTACTAAAATTGAATAATTGATTGCTTCTTTTTATCAATTCTTCGCTTTTATTCTCTTTAATCAATTACTTGTCACGGATTAATTCAGATTTGAAGAAACGCAATAATACAGAATAAGTAAGAGTACTAGCTATTTGTCAGAAAATCGAGAATGTAAGCATCATCATCTCTAATTAGCCCTACTTTACCTAATACTATAAGAGACGAGTTCACATGGTCTGGGCCATGTTTGGACCATTTTTTTTTCGAAAAATTAAACTTATCATCTTTTTAGGATGTTTACGGTATAAATTGGTGTCTCATGTAATTACACCTTTTTTTTTTTTTTTGCTATAGATTTCAAATTATCGTTCAAGCAGGATATATTTATAATATAATCCGTATTTTGAAATCTTCAATCAAATTAGAGATATATCATCAAACGGCTAATTTATTAAACATTTCCACAGCAAAGCATTCATTTTAAAACTACAATTACAAGAATAAAAAGAAAGCAAGTAGTGTTAAACCGTACGAATGAAGTTTAAGTTAATCTTTTGGTTACAATCCAAGGAAAGGACTTTTAGAACTAAATGCTAGCTATGTAACCTTAAGCATGTAAGGTAGAGCTAATTTCTAATTAAGGAAACAACTAAACTAATCATTGTGGAATTATTAGGGTTATTAGTAAAGTGATCTTCCAAAATCTTAGTATACCTTTGAAAAAGATCATCCATAACAATTTTCCCAAAGTAACGCTCCAACATAGACTCAACCACAGCTCTATGTATCTTGGCTACTCTTTCTCCCTTCGCCAACGCCGCCTTGCATAAACTATGTTCATCAGACTGGTTGTTGCTGAGTTTTACGTCTCCATCCCATTCAACTTCAACAGCTTCGAAACGATGCCCGAAAAATGATGATTCTTCTTTTACTAGTTGCTTAACTTCTTCTAGGCATGGTGCATAATATGGCACATTGAAACAATCCAGCTTATCCTCTTCAATCAACCCCTACATTAGTTCATCATACGTGCATGTCGTACTTGTTATTATTCATTTACGAATATGTAGACAATTCATAATTACAAAAAAAAAAAAAAAAAAAAAAAAAAAAAAAAAGGTTTTTTTTTTTTTTCGAACACTTATTTTGTCTTAAGTTATTAATTATTTTTTTAAATTTTTTATCTAGTAGAAATTGTCTGAACTTGATTAATTTTTTTTTAAACTTATTTTATTTGAAATTATATGAATTTATCTAAAAATTTCGTAATATGTATGTTATGTTAAATGTATACGGTATACTTATAACAAATCTTGTTGAAATAATTCAAAATAAGTTGAGCACGCATAATAGGCTCTAATTAAGTTATTTTTCATTGACATGTTTATTAATGTACGTAAAGTTCTTAATCTTCAACAACCATTATAACTTAGGGTGTGTTCAATTCACCCGATTTTCACTTATTAAAACTTATTTTAGTTGTAATTTGAACTTAGGTAACCCTTATTATAACTTATTTTTCCTGAATTGAACTAATCTGAACTTAGGCCCTGTTTTGTTCACCTTATTTCCACTTATTTCAGGGTTAATAAGTTCAGATAAGTTCAAATAAGGGCTAATAAGTTCAGATAAGGGTTAATAAGTTCAGATAAGATAGGTTCAGGAAAAATAAGTTCAAACAAGTTGTGATAAGGGTTAATCAGGGCTACCCAAGTTTAATTTATAACTAAAATAAGTTCTAATAAGGGCTAATAAGTTCAGATAAGTTAAGATAAGATCAGATAAGTTCAGATAAGTAAAAATCAAGTGAATAGAACGCACCCTTAATTTTTCTAGAACTGAACTTATCTTAACTTAACTGAACTTATTAGACTTGAAATAGTGAAAATAAGGTGAACAGAAGAGACCCTTATTATAGTGAGTTATTTATAGAAAAAATGCTAACATACGTGGTATATAGAATTGTTACGGAGTATATTAATACTAAACATTCAATCAGTGGTTCATGGAGGCGGATGTACCATGCGCATGGTACATCCGTTCAAAAAAAAAAAAAAATAAGCGGAAAGGACAATGTATAGAAATGTAAAGAACATTTAGTTAAAGTGAAAAGAACATGGTATAGAATTGTAAAGAACATATATCTAAAGTGAAAAGAACATATTGTTAAAATGTAATGAACGTGATAAAAGAACATAAAAGATATAAAAAAAAAAATAACGTAATAAAGCTATTTATAACAATGAACCTGACACTATTTTATAAAGAACACACTGTCAAATAATATTTTTTTTATCTCCGTGTTATTTGATTGTCAGTGTAATGTATTTTTATTTGTGACATAATAATATTCATTGTTTACAATGAAATGTTCTTTAAATTTTGTCTTTAGATTATGGTGGGTGAATATAAATAATGTTCATTACATAATATTATTATGTTCTTTATTAATATTATGGATGTTCTTTAGATATACAAAAAAAACATAAAGCTGGATGTTCTTTGTAAAACAGCTATATGTTTTTTACAAAACAACTATATCTTCATTCCGCCTTTTATCAAAAATTCGGATGTACCAAGTGTACATCCGCCTCCACAAAGAAAATTTCACTAAACATTAAACAATAAGTCATTATATATAATATGTATGATTTTGTCATCCATTCTCAATACTACAATTTATGTTGTCTAAAATCATATCACACATAAGTGGTAGTAAAACCTAAAAAAACTAACCTCAGAAACCATGCTGTTAAAGCTCTTGGCAATCAACTCCCAAGGATAGAAATTATCTTCAGAAGAAGTAGGATCATTGGACCTTCTACCCATAAATGTTAACACCATACGCCTCCCTGAAATTACTTCTTCTGCACGACATTTCAAAAATAAAAGGAAATCCTTTCTAAATTGTAACTTGTATGCGTTTATCACTTCATTTGGGCTAGTCATTGACATGTATATCTTCCCTTTGTTTAGCATCTTTGCGTTATCTTTGTCATCCAAACCCGCTGGAACCTGCAAATTAAATCAAACCTTATTTCTCGATTTTCAATAGGTGATACACGACTATGCTATGAGCTGCATATAAGTATTTAATATGAGTATATGACTATACACAAGTACATTTTTCTATATTAAAAGTTATACACGGTCGATCAATCTGTCACACATGCAAATATATATACAGAGTTTTTTTTTTAATTAACAATAATAATAATCTTATATGGAGGAATACATATAACATGATATTATTAGTTTATTCTAGAGAACATGATATAAAATATCAATTAAACTTAAACTTAGCATCGCGTCCCGTCATTGGTCTTATATATAACCCAAGGCCCCAACTTGTATTACTATGTAAATTACTTATATTCATCAATAAAAATTAACCTTTAAAAGAGAAATGGTGCTTATTAGTTACCAAATTAAAGAAAATATTAGGTGTTATAGATACAATGTACCAAGTTTAAATACTACCTCCGTTAAATATTAGTTACAATTTTAGGGGTATTATTTGTGATATATAAAATATTGCAAAGTTGCTACTAATACTAAATAAAAGTAGTATTCTAATTGAGGAAACTGGTTAACTTCGTACTCCGTACATAGATATTAGGTTTTTTTTTTTTTTCTTTTTTTTTTTTTTTTTTTGTGGGGGTGAAAACATAGGTTTCTAAGTTAAAGTGACGACTTTGAATTGATACTATTTTTGATAGGGGATACCTTTTAAGATAGGTTTTGAATGGCTATTGATGAATAAGTACATCAATATTCAATAATTGTGAATGTTGTGTCTTTGTGGGTGGTCCAAGAACAACTGTGAACTTGTAATTTCACTAATTTGTCTTCATTGACTTACTTTGCCAGTGGCACAAAACATATGTATATGAACAGTTGATAGACGGGTATTAGTATTAATTACTCGTAAGTCGCGTAAATAGGGACAGTAGCAAATTGGATAGTGAATTGTTGGAGTGGAGAAAGAAGCAAAGATACATATGATTCATAATCCACGTTCCTAATTAACTTTATAAGATTTGTAAAATAATATTGTTGGTGTAGTTATGTCACATTTTATTCCTTTTTTTTTTTTTTTAATAATAATTGATACGGTAATTTGAGTTTTTTTATGAAACAAAAATATATACATTGTATATTATGAACAATTTGGTACCACTATGACTTATGAGTCTATGATGATGTTGACAATTAGTCACGATTATTCAATTTCATCACAAAATCTTAAAATTAATCAATACTAGATTAAATTAAGTTTATTAAGCTATGTAATATGTATAGGTTTTTTTACTTTAACAAATTTTCATTCCGATACAAAATTATTAACTCATTATTTTCTTACTATATATCTAAAATTATCTCTTTCCTCAAAAAAAAAAAAATCTCTAATTCTTATTATTTTCATCTAAACTAAAACTTTAATTAAATGAAAATAAAGAGCATTATTATACTTTTCACATGCACAATGCTCCATAAGTAAATATTCCTTCCACTTCGGAACAATTGACCCTCTTCATTCGGCACGTAGTTTAAGAAAATAATAGGTAGGGGACGATAAAATTGTTTAATGTAAAGTAAAGTTAGTAAATTTACTTTATACGAATTAATATATTTATATTAAAAGGTAACATGTGATGTGAGAATAGAAAAAATTATTAATGAGCTATGGTAAATATGATAAATATAATTTAATAATGATAGAGTTCGATTTCTTGTCATCTATGATAGCGTGTCAATTATTTTGAAACGGGCAAAAAAGTAAAATATACTCCGTATCAATTAATTATTTCGAAACGAAGTAATTGATAAAGGATAGTGTGTCAAGTATTATACTGATTGGACATGGCATGGAGCAAGTGTCTTGGAATAATCTAGAGTAGAATACTAAGCATAGAAATTTTACCAAGTATTTGTGCATAAAAAAACAGCTAATAGTAAAGAAAAAATCTAACCTGAGAGAGCCAATGCAAGCTAGAAGAAGAATGGACAAAGTGCAAGGACTTGTTTGGAAGCAACCTCCCATAGAAACTTCCAGGAAGACCAGCTATAAAACATGAACATGACTCACCGCCTTTTTCCTCTGTCAACTTTTTTTGAAAATTAGAGAGTGATCCAAACACCCCATTGAAGTCATTCCCTGGTAAGTCATTCAAAAACACCATAAACTTGGGTGATGATGGATGTCCCTCCATCTTCCGGCATTTTGCATTAACCATGTTGATTATCTCCGACACCGCCCCTAGGGCCGTTGGGCCTGATGAACAACCGAGGTCGGCGATGACCATGGTCTCTGGTAATTCATTGCTTAAGTAGCCTTGTATGGCTTCTTCAACAAATGATTTTGTTAGGGATAATATCTTGTTCTGAAAGTAAAAATAAAAAATTATTTAATTGAAGACTTTTCTACATACCCAATAAAAAAACTCATATTTAAAAAAACTTTTTACGGAATGGGAGATCTGAAACTGATCTATCGTACACATATTTTCATTCTTAACCACTAGGTCAAGAGGTGACCTTGTTGGCTCTTTTTTATTTGTTATTTATACTCTTACGCCATTTTTTTTTTAACAATTTCAATATTATTCATTTTGACACCTATATTTATCAAGAAAATAACTTTAAAACATTAATAAAATATATATAAAAAAAATTTGCAATAAAGAAAATGACATTTATTTTACATAGCGTACAGTTAGTACTCATATATGAATAATAAAAAAGTAAAAGTGGTGTGTGTATATAATTACCCGAACAGTACAATTCTTTGCATAACTCTCTTCCCCTTGGCCTTTGTTCATGTGGAAAATTTGAAGCATGTCCATTGTTGTCAACTCCATGAAATAAAATAAATTTGTATAATGTGTTAAAACTAGAAGAAGAAATTAAATCAAGATAAATAATGTTAGTTGTTCTCCCTAATAAAATTATGTGGAGTAAAATGATCCTTCAAAAAAAAAAAAAAAAAACTAGAGTAGAACGAAGTAAGATGCTCAAATACTTCTTCCTTATTGAATCGACTGACGGACTGAGGTTGAGGAGGGGAGCGACATTTTATAGGCAATGTCTACACCTAGCCAATTATATGTCTATATATAGTCAATACATACAATATGCCTCCAAAAGAATGAATAAAGAGTTATTCTAAATGAAGCCCCTTCAAAAATTAAAAAAAAAATATAATAAAATAAAAACTCTAATTAAAGCAATGTTTAGTTTACACTATTTAAGCATCTGTACTTATTTGCGTTCATATAAAAAAAAAATAGTTCAAATCATACTTTATTATTTTTTTGGTGTTCCACCCGTTTTAGCCTTTGGGTTAATATGGATTCGAGGATCAGTTATGGGTGGTTAGGTTTCAGTCCCCTCCCAATATAGTTGTTGTTGCGGGGATCGAACACGCGATCCTCCTTATCAAGTGTAGCTCCAATCACCAATACACTTACCGACAATTGGTTATCATAATTTATTATATTATTTGTGATTATTGTTTATCGTTAGATGTCTTTAGTTTTGCAATAAAAAATTATGAAAATTACATATATATTTGAAAAATACACATTGATATGTGTAAATCTAATTAATAATAAGACCTCATTTGATATTTTTTTTTCCTTATTGATTATCGTACATGTACGTTCAAAATTTATTCAAATTGGACTATTAGAACAGATAAAAAAAAAAAGATTAGATTAGATCAGGAAAAGTCATTTCAAATTCAAATTAGATAAACAAAAGTAAGGTTAACCACTAAACTTAACGTAGGCTAATTCATTAATGTTTGGGTCCAATTCAGTCAACCTAATTGGGCCAATCCAAATGATTTAATTACAAAAGCCCAAAGCAAGGTTCTACTCTCCAAAGCATGCTAAAGTCAATCAAGCCCAGTCAGCATGGCAAGCCCATCTGACTTCAGGGCCCAATCCTTATATTTTGAGCAAAGGTATAAAAGCCATCAATTGTCTCATTTATCATGGATTCAGAAATAGCCTCAAGCAATTAATTCTCTTATACAACTTTTCTCTCTCAACACACTGAACTGACTTTAGCATCGGAGGGGCCTTCCTCGGCAACCACCCCCGAGGCTAGTTTACGTGTGTTTGCTGTGCAGGAAACCCTCGGTCCATTCATCAGTTGGTCCGAGATCAGTCTTCTCCCTTGAAAAGGGCTTGCCGAAGGTCCTATTGTTTTCATACCGAAACAATTTAGCGCAGTCTGTGGGGAAGATACACAAAATTAAGCCAAAAATCCAACCCATCTTAGTAGAAACATGACTAAGAGCGGTAAAAGCGCCAAGAGTGCTAAGAAGAACGATCCTTCCTCTTCGAAGAGAGACCTAATCACGGTGAGAAGGAACCCATCACCGGAACCTTCTTCTCCTTCTTCTTCCAAAGCCCCCTCTTCCCCGGAAAGGGCAGCATCGGAGAAGTCACCGTCCCATCATACTCGTCAGCCGAGAAGTTCGTCTCGGCCAAATCAATCAAATGCAAAGAGTCCTCCTCCACGAAGCTCACATTCTCAGTCTCGACCGAGAACAACTCCCCAAACGGGGCCCTCTACAGAGGAAGTGGCGCAAGCCGTCGCGGTCGTCATGGATTTCATGAAGGCTCAAGCAGGTACCTTTCCACCACCCCGTGATCACTCGCCTCTTTCGCCAAGACACCTTAGAAGGAGGATTGGCCAAGAGGATAGTGGACGGGCTCCTTCCTTCAAGGAGCTCGGGGACAAGTAAAAGGAGGACACTTGTAGGACCGAGCGGGAAAGGAAAAGGAACTCCCAATTCTTTGACAATTCCAAAACCCGGGACTCCAAGAGCTACAAAAGCAGCAATTCCACCTCCGCATGGCAAGAGCCTGCTCGCCTAAACGTTCACGAACGTCTAGGCCCAAGGGAGATGAGCGTGCATAGTCGCGTCACCTACCCGGAGGGAACCGAGCCGTACCCCAAATCGTCTCAGCCGAGGACGAAAACCACTTCAACCTCTCTAAGAGGGAGGAGCGAGGTCCCAACGGTTAGACGTAAAGGGAAGGCCGTAATGGTTACTATCAGCTCACCTTTCCAAAGTTGGATACTGGAAGAGCATGTACCGACGGTGAAAATCCCGGCGTACATCACTTACGACGGTACTTCGGACTCGAAGGACCACATTGCCTCTTACGACCAGGATGATGAAAAGGAAAAAGAAAAGGACCGTTGCACAAAAAGGCCTAAAGGCTTAAGTGCTTTAGCCCAAGAAACCTCAGCAAAAGAAAAATCTTTGGGAAAGGAAAAGGCAGATTCCTCATCTGAGCCGAAAGACTCAGAACATCAGCCACAGTCTGGGAAGCCTGCTAATATTGACAATAGGCCTGATCGAGAGGAGTCCAGCGCCAAAGCCATGGAACTGGACAATCAGACTGAGTCAATAGAGTTGACCGAAGGGAATTCTGAAAGATGTGTCAGCATTGGACTGGGACTTGATCCAAATGTTCGTGTTGAACTAATTCAACTCCTTCGGGACAACAAAGATGTGTTCGCTTTCTCGGCAATAGACATGCCCGGGATTGATCCGAACCTCATCTCTTATAAGCTTAATGTCAACCCTACATGTCGGCTAATTAAGCAAAAAAAGCGGAATTACTCCGCTCAAAAGAACCAATACATCGCAACTGAAGTAAAAAAACTTCTAGATGCAGGTTTCATTGAACCTTGACAGTATCCAGAATGGTTGGCCAATGTGGTGATGGTTTAGAAGGCAAATGGCACCTGGAGAATGTGCGTTGACTTCACAGATCTAAATAGGGCCTGTTCGAAGGACTTTTATCCCTTGCCGAGGATCGATCAGCTAGTCGACTCGACAAGTGGGCATGCCCTGCTTAGTTTTATGGACCCATTTTCTGGATATCATCAGATCTTCATGCACCTCGATGACAAAGCAAAAACGCCTTTCTTATGCGCTTCGGATTGAAAAATGCGGGGGCAACTTATCAAAGGCTGGTTGATCAGGTATTCGGCGTGTGTCTTCGGCGTGAATTCAGGCAAGTTCCGAAGAAGTGTGTCTTCGGCGTGAATTCAGGCAAAAACGCCTTTTCCACCCTTAGAAAAAATCAAATGAAGCAAAATCCGAAGAAGTGTGTCTTCGGCGTGAATTCAGGCAAGTTCCTCGGCTTCTTGGTCAGCAAAAGGGGATTGATGCCAATCCCGCCAAAGTTCAAGCAGCTCTGGATCTTCCCGAGCCGAAAATAAAGAAGGATGTTTAGCGTCTCACTGGCAGAATGACTGCCCTTTCTAGGTTCATCTCTAAGGCCTCGAACAAGGGGTTGCCTTTCTTCAAAGCGCTAAAACTCCCCAAATCAAAAGAGCTCATCTGGGAAGACGAGCAAAAAGAAGCCTTTAAGAAACTCCTTGAGCACCTGGCTCAACTCCCAACACTGGCAAGACCAGCTGAAGGAGAAACCCTGTACTTATATGTGGCAGTTAGCCCAGCCACTATAAGCACGGTGTTGCTAAGGGAAGAAGAAAAAATTTCAGCAATCGATCTATTTCGTCAATCACACTCTGACAGATGCCGAGACACGTTACGCCCTACTTGAAAAAGTTACATATGCAGTAGTGATAGCCGCTCGGAAGCTGAGGCCCTACTTCGATTGCCATCAAATAGTGGTCTTAACTGATCAACCGCTGGAAAAAGTCCTCGACAAAGTAAAGAATCTGGTAGACTAGCAAAGTGGGCTTTCAAGCTCACCGAGTTCAGTATCAGCTATCAGCCAAGGGCAGCTATCAAGGCCTAGGCCTTAGCAGACTTCCTAGCCAAGTGTTCTTGAAAATCTGGACCGTTTTCACGGATGGATCCTCCACCGTGAATGGTTTGGGGGCAGGGGTCGTCATAGCCTCTCTCGAAGGCAAATCCTTTGAATATGCATTAAAATTCTCATTCAAGGCTTCAAATAACGAAGCTGAATATGAAGCAACAATTGTTGGTCTAGAGTTGTGCATAGCATTGAACGCCGAGTATGTCTGTTTAAAAACAGATTCTCAACTTGTCGCAAATCAGATCCGAGGTGAATATGAGGCCAAAGAGCCCTTAATGATTGCCTACCTCGCAAAGATCAAAAGTGTCATTGCGAAGTTGAGAACTTTTGAAGTCGAGCTGATCCCAAGGGGTCAGAACGCACAAGCCGACACACTCTCCAAACTTGCAAGTTCAACTGTAACCAAGCTGAACCGATCTGTATATGTGGAAGTGAGCCGAGAAAAAAGTGTGGACCAAGAACCTGAGGTTTGCTGCGTCACACACGAGCTGAGTTGGATGGACCCCATCCTAGCTTACAAACTTCGGAGAGAAATTCCCGTAAGACAGGAACTTAGCCTCTAAGATGAAGAGAATTAGCTCAAGTTTCATCATCTTAAGAGGGGAACTCCTGAAAAAGTCCTTCTCAGCCCCACTATTAAAATGCGTGGGTCCAACTGATGATGATTACATCCTTCAGGAAATTCATCTCGGCATCTGCGTAAACCACATAGGGGGAAGAACCTTAGCCCATAACGCGCTAAGGGCCGGATATTATTGGCCAACCATGATCGCAGATGCTAAGGAACTGGTTAGAAAATGTGAAAAATGTCAAAAGTTCGCACCAATCATCCATCGACCATCGCGAGATCTTCAGCCAATCCTGAATCCTCTTCCGTTTGCTCATTGGGGACTGGACATTTTGGGACCATTTCCCGATGCTCCATACCAAAAGAGATGGCTGAGAGTCGGCATAGACTATTTCAGCAAATGGATCGAAGTCGAAGCAGCTTCAAACATTACAGAGCAAACTGTCAGAAAATATATCTGGCAGAACATTATCACTCGCTTCGGGATTTCGAAAGTTTTTGTCTTCAATCATGGGAGGCAATTTGACAATTTTCCACTGAAGCGGTACACAGATCAGTTCGGCATTAAATTGGCGTATTCTGCAGTTTGTCATCCGCAGAGTAATGGTCAAGCCGAAGCTGCAAATAAACAAATCCTCAACGCTCTTAAGAAGAGAGTTGAAGATTAAAAGTCCAAGTGGATAGAGGAACTTCTAGG